ATTCCCAGCAACCACATGGTGGCTCACAACCATCTGTAATGAGATATGGTGCCCTCTTCTGGCATGCAGGCATATATGGAGGGAGAATGTTGTATACATAATAAATAAATAAATCTTAAAAAAAGACTGCCCCTCTCTTGTGATAATATGAATCTATAGAGCCATGTAATGAACAGCTTGCCAGTCACAGTTGCACTTGGCTGAGGCATGAGAGAGTGATAGGCCTTCAGGGGACAGAGCCATGCTGGAGTAAAGGTCAGGATGCATGGTAGAACGGCATGTTGTGCACACTGGTAACTCCAGTACTTTGTAGGTAGAGGCAGGAAATCAGGAGTCTAAGGTCATTCTTGGTTACCTAGTGCATTAAAGGCTAACCAGGGCTCCCTGAGAGCCTATCACAAACAAGCAAACACATCCCCAAGTGCATTATATTTCCCAGCATTGAAAAGGAGACTCTATAAATTGGATCCTTTCCCCTGAAAAATGGCTAAACAAACAAACAAACAAACAAAAACCCTCCTGCTCTCTGCAGCAGTGAACAACACTGAGCTAAATCCAAGTTCATTAGGATGAAGAGGTTCACCGAATGATAGCCTTGCTGTGTGGTACAGGTCTGCTTTCCTTCACAAAATACAAGGAAACGGACTGAGGGTTTGCATCCAGAACAGTGTTTGCTTCTGGGGAGAAGGGTAGAAAGGAGTTTTTAACTCTTAAGATGTTTCTTAGAGGGAATGCTTGCTCATGAACACGAGGGAAAATGATTGAGCTGCAATTCATTTTTTCTATTCCCTCTCTCTCTGTTCCTTCTACACCTTCTTCCATTTCATCTCCTGTCCTCCCCACCATATGAAACTCAAGTTTAAATCATGTGATGGGGCATGTGAGCACAGAGTGATGGCCTTCAGTCTTCTTAGTGAAGGAAAAAGTGGACGTTCCCATGTGAATGGCCCAGTTGGAGGTGAACCCTGGAAATGGCGGTGGGAGGAGCCTTCTGGGTCTCCATATCCCCTGAAAGCAAGGGTCGAAGGGTCTTTTTGAAAATTTTAATATATATCTGCATGTGCACCTTTATGTCAGAAGAGGGCATCAGATCCCACTAGAGATGGTTGTGAACCATTATGTAGTTGCTGGGAACTGAACTCAAGACCTCTGGAAGAGGAGCCAGTGATCTTAACCTCTGAGCCATCTCTCCAGCCAGCCCCAGGTCTTTAAATGTTTTCACTAGAAGTGAGAAGCTGTGTTCATAGCATGAACAGAAATTGGTATGTATGCAGTAGGTAAGGTAAGCCCCATTCCACCTTAGTCTTTTTTTTTCCCGGGTACTGGGGATTGAACCCAGGGTCTCATGCGTGCTAGGCTAATGCTGTGCCACTGGACTATAGCCCTACCCTGACTTCTTTTTCTCTTTAAACATCATTTTTTAAAGTTATTCTTTATACAATTAAGAAATTATGTGTATGGGTATTTTGCCTGCCTTATATCTATGTATCACATGCATGCCTTGTGCTCCTGGAAGTCAGAAGGGTGTTAAAGATCTTGGATCTGGAGTTCCAGATTGCTGTGAGCAGTCATCTGGGAATTGAACTCCAGGTCTTCTGGAATAGCCCAGCGCTCTTAACCACTGAGCACTGAGCCATCTCTCCCATGACTCCCTCTCTCTCTCTCTCTCTCTCTCTCTCTCCATCCTTCCCTCCCTCCCTCCCTCCCTTCCTTCCTTCCTTCCTTCCTTCCTTCCTTCCTTCCTTCCTCCCTTCCTTCCTTCTTTCCTTCCTCCCTTCCTCCCCTCTCTCCTTTTTTTTTGAGACAGGGTTTCTCTGTGTATCTCTGACTGTCCCAGAACTTCCTCTGTAGACCAGGCTGGCCTCAAACTCAACAAAGATCTGCCTGCTCTGCCTCCTGAGTGCTGGGATCAAAGGTGTGGGGCTACCACTGGCCAGCTTACCTTTTTCTTTTTTCTTTTTTCTTTTTGGTTTTTCGAGACAGGGTTTCTCTGTGTAGCTTTGGCGCCTATCCTAGCACTCGCTCTGGAGACCAGGTTGGCCTCGAACTCACAGAGATCCACCTGCCTCTGCCACCCTAGTGCTGGGATTAAAGGCATGAGCCACCAACTCCCGGCCAGCTTGCTTACTTCTTATAAATGAGAATTGATTCTATTTCCAAGCCTGGGACCTCTGAGAACATTTATTCAATTTCGTTCAATGTTATCAATCACACATAAAGATTCGGTTCTCTCAATTTTTTTATTTGCTTATTTCTTTCACATTCTTTCTTTCTTTCCAAAAACTGTATCATCTCCAAGGGGTGCCTAAGTTCTGGACTTTGCTAACACTTTTTTTTTTCTTGCTGTATGTGTGTGTGTGACATATGCATACATGTGTATACTCGTGTGGGGAGGCCAGAGTTTGAAGTTGGTTGCTGTCCTTAATCTCTTTCTACTTTATTAGTTTGTGATGTGGTCTCTTGTGGAATCTGGAGCTCACAGATTTGGCTAGACTTGCTGGCAAGTGAGCCTGAAAAGTCCCTGTCTCTGCCTCCCCAGCACTTGCATGACAGCATCAAATCCAGCTTTTTACATGGGTGCTGGAGTGCTGGGTATCCAGACTTAAGTCAACATGCGTGTGTGGCAAGCACTTCACTGACTAAGCCATCTCCCCAGTCCCTGCTGTGACACATTTATTGGGACATTGCCAGTGTGGCTTCTGAGGTTTGAGGAAAAGCCCTGATGTCCTTCTGTCTTCATTGGACTTCAGGTGCCCACACGGTTCCTTTGAGTCATCCATCGTCTAAGTCACCTTTCTAGATTAGCCAACAGGGTGGTCATACCTTTCTTTTGGAAACCTTCTTAACCCTGTTTGTGAGTTTTCATCTTTACTTACTATGCTAGTCAACTTGAAAAAAGCTAGAGTCGTCTGGGAAGTGGGACTCACAATTGAGAAAATATCTCCATGAGATTGGCTTGCAGTGTAGGCAAATCTGTAGTGCATTTTCTTAATTAGTATGATGTGTTTCAGCGAGGATTAGAACCCTTGTATACTGTTGGTAGGAGTGTAAAACAAAAGCGAAAAGCCTCAAAAACTTGCTATTGAATGTAGAATTACCAAGTCATCAATGCCAAATCTAGTCCTGCTTCTATAAGAAATATTTTAAACCCATTTGTTTATAATATCAGAAGGCTCTCATGGTTCTGCAGACTAGAGACGCATGCGCATGGCAGCGATTGTTTTTTGGTGAGGGCATTGTCTCTCAGCTGCTGCCTTTCTCCCTTTTCTTTCCCCCTTCTTCCTCCTTTTTTTTTTTTTTTTTTTTTTTTTTTTTTTTTTTTTTTTGAGCAGGGGAGTAGGAGTGAGGAATGGTGATTCTGTTGATTGAAGACAGGACCTCATAAATGCTAGACAAGGATCTTACTAGCTGAGATATATTTCCAGCTCTTAAAACTTAGAGTGAGGTTGTAGAACTGCGTTTTAACAGTATGTCTTCTGAACACAGGAGATGTGACTGTCCCAAACTGAGACTTGCTATGTGTGTGAAATTTACACTGGGTTTAAAAGCCTTGGTATGAACCAAAGAATGTACAATATTTCACCACTATTTTTACTGATTTTTTTCTTTTATTGTTTTTTTATTAAGATTTATTAATTTTTATTTAATATGTATGCGTGTTTTTGCCTACATGTCTGTCTGTGCACACATGCATGCATTGCTCCTGGAGGCCAGGAGAGGGCATCAGATTCCCTAGAACTGGAGTGAGGGTTGTCAACTACCACATGGGTTCTGGGAATCAAACCCAGGTCTGGAAAACCAGCCTATGCTCTTAATTGCTAAGGCATCTCTCTATTCCCCGGTCAGTCAGTCAGTCAGTCAGTCAGTCAGTCAGTCTGTCTGTCTGTCTATCTATCTATCTATCTATCTATCTATCTATCTATCTATCCATCCATCCATTGTTTCCATAAATTCAGCTAATTAAATTTACAGTCCTCCAGCCTCAGCTTCCCAAGGAATTAGGATATGACTACAAGCTAATGATATTTTAATAGTGATTACAATATTACATTAGCTAAAGCATTATTAATTTTTTTAAGAAGTTGAGTGCTTCCTGGGAGACACAATAGGTTAAAGTTCAAATAAAATTTGCAAGTTAAAATGAAATTTTCTTTCTTGTCTGGGGGGAGGTACAGGTAGGGGACAGGGTGGGAGGTGGTGTGATGGGGGGCAGAGTTTCATGTCACAGAGGCTCATTATCAGTGGCTGAATCTATCCTTGAACTCCTGATCCTCCTGCCTCAGTTTGAGTTCTGGTATCATTATGCCCAGCCAAACAGTCTTATTGCTGGGGAGAAGCATACAAACTTGATTTTTCTTCTAAAAATAGGTTTTGATAAGGATGAGAGAATGACAGTGTAACTAAGAGGCACCATAGAAAGAGAGCTGTCCTCGTGCAGAAAGCAAGAGTTATCAGCTCTTTGAGTCAAACGAGGAATTTTGGAATATTTCATAGAGCAAAGTATTCCAAGTTCTTCTCCTGCCAGATAATGTGAATTGACCCATGGCTTTGATGCGAGACCAGGGCTCTACCACTGAGCTACACCTCTAGCCTTGAAGCTGATGTTTACATTTGCTCCTATGATCAAAAGACATAGCAGGAGCCCCCTTACATAGACCTTAAGATGTTCTATGATTTAGCTGGGCGTTGATAGTGCACGCTGTTAATCCCAGCACTGGGAGGCAGAGGCAGGCGGATTTCTGTGAGTTCGAGGCCAGCCTAGTTAGTCTCCAAGCAAGTGCCAGGATAGGCTCCAAAGCTACACAGAGAAACCCTGTCTCGAAAAACCAAAAAAAAAAAAGATGTTCTATGTTTTACCCCCACTGTGATAATTTAAAAAGTGAAGAGATTTCGAAAAGTGCATGGCCACATTCACCCCGGTTTGCAAAGGACACACTTGGAACAAGCATTCTTCATGCTTTCATTTAATACTCATCTTTTCATGTTGCTCTCCCTTCCAGATCAGCAACATCTTGTTTTTCATTTTACCACCCATCTGCATGTGCTTGTTCCGCCAGTATGCAACGTGTTTCAACAGCGGCATCTACTTAATATGGACTCTCCTAGTTGTAGTGGGTAAGTGAAGTCATGTGGGAACCGGGATTGAAAGGGAGGAAGTGGGACCCCGAACGTTTCCTGTCCCCTTTGAACATAATGTTTTATAAACCAAAGCCACTCTGACGTCTTAGCCATTGCTCCCCTGATGCCAAAAGGACTCTTGAGTGTCGGTTTGATAACAAGGCTGCCTGTAACTATCACAGACTAGCACTAAGGGTCTGTGGGCAGCCACTGGTGGTGTGCCAGCGTGGTTTTCTGAGAACTTCTGAAGAACCTCTGAAACAATTGAAGCCTGATGAGATTTGGTTCCAAAGGACTTAAAGAAAGAAAAATATTTAGATGGTTGGTCCCTCATTGTTCTGTGAAATACTATGTGATTTCCATTTCCTCTCTGGCAGTTTGGGAACTCTTAACAGGGAGATAGTGTTGACTTTTATTTACTGCCTGTTATCGTGAATGTTCAGAGGATGGAGACAGAGTGTGCTTGGCCATGGAATTCTTTGATGACATTTGAGCCCAACTTGAAACCCTCTTTCTAGCCTCCAGGTCTCTCTCTCTCTCTCTCTCTCTCTCTGTCTCTCTCTCTCTCTGTCTCTCTCTCTCTCTCTGTGTGTGTCTCTCTCTTTCTGTCTCTCTCTCTCTGTCTCTCTTGTTAGAGTGATCTGGTGAGTCTGATAGCACCTAGAGAAGGGCTATCCAGGGCTATCTGAAGCAGTGGGCCTGTGTGAGTCTGTTCTGCATTAACTTTTTTGTTTGTTTGTTGTGATTGTTTCTAGGAATTGGATCTGTCTACTTCCATGCAACTCTCAGTTTCCTGGGTCAGATGCTTGATGAACTTGCCATCCTTTGGGTTCTCATGTGTGCTTTGGCCATGTGGTTTCCCAGGAGGTATTTACCAAAGATCTTTCGGAATGACAGGTAAGATTGTGCTAAAGACTTTTGGTAGATGTTACCAATGTAATACACTCATCAAGTTGGTGACAGAACACATTCATCAAGTTAGCAATGTAACTCACCAAGCAAATTACTGCATGAGTGAGCTCAGCTAGCAAAGAGCTCATTGTACACTGAGTTTCATGATCTGACAATGCAGTTGAGCTGTCTATACTTCCCAAATAACCCCTTACATGTGCACTTTTTAAAAAGTTTATTTAACTATTTTATGTGCATTGGTGTGGAGGTGTCAGACTCCCTGGAACTGAAGACAGTTGTGAGCTGCCATGTGGGTGGTGGGAATTGAACCCAGTAACCACTGAGCCACCTCTGCAGCCGTACATGTGAGTTTTTGAGTCCCTTCTACAAAACCTACAGCCAGCCCTCATTTCATAGTCCATTTCACTTTTAGAATCTTGAATGGCTAGGGAGCAGGCTAAGCCCTGCCTATCTTTTTTTTTTTTTTTTTGAAGATTTATTTATTATGTTAACAGTGTTCTCCCTGCATGTTTGTCTGCACTCTAGGATAGGCCACCAAATCTCATTATAGATGGTTGTGAGTCATTGTGTGGTTTCTGGGATTTGAACTCAGGATCTCTGGAAGAGCAGCCAGTGCTCTTAACCTCTGAGCCATCTCTTCAGCCCTAGCCCTGTCTGTCTTAGCAAGCATAAGGCTAGAAGCGTAAATTCTCTGGGCCTTGGTGCCTCACTTTGGAAACAACAGGGATGGGAGAGCTCTCTGAAGCCCTTCCCAGAGCCAAGTGCTGTAGTACCATGACATGACAAGAGCCCTGTTTTAAGTAGGTGATGTTTCTTTTGTGATCGTTGAAACTACTGAGCCCTAACATCTTAAGGGACGTGTCAGAAGTTTACGGGCATGGTTTTATTACCCATAAATGATGGCAGGTTTTACCTTCTATAACATCCATCTCACTTTGTAGGAGTAAAGGTGACGTTACCAAGTACTAAAAAAACAAAAAAACCCCAGGGTCAGTTAAGGTGGAAATCCTCCTCTTTAGAAGGTAGCTAACGATAACAGTACCAACTTTATTGTGAGATAATGGCCAGGAAGTTGGATTGCTAGATTTGGGTTTGGGGAATACGGAAGAAGGGGGTGCTAAGAGTTTCTAGCATGAGATTGTATGGGCTGACAGCTAAACACAGGACCGAGGTAGGGAGGGCCTGCCATCACAGTCTAGGACACACACTGTCAGGGCCCCTCGCTCCTGGAATTTCTATCTCTCTAACACCTAGGGCCTGTGGTGACTCTTGCTTGGGTATGCTGGCGTGGCTGGCTTTCTCTTGGTCATGTGACCTCTGTTTACTTTGACTAGTTGCTAAATTGTGTGTTCGGACAGGATGTCCTCATTGTCCAGTACATTCCTCCACTCCCTCTGGACCCAGTGTGGGGAGGTGTCTGCAAGTGTCTCCTAAAGTATGTGCCTTTAAACTATTTGGCAGTATTACTTGGATGGAACCTTTGGGAATTACAATGGCTGTCCATCCTGCACTCCTTCAGCAATAATATTTTTTTTTCTGTTTTGTTTGCTTTGTTCTGTTTCGTTTTGCGACATGATCATGCTCTTAGTCTAGCTGGCCCCAACTCATAGCAATCCTCCTGCCTTAGCCTCCTAAGTGCTGGGATTACAGATATGAACCCCAATGGCCAGCTCAACAATAGTGATATTATTAACATAGTAGTTCCTCTAAGAAAGAGTCTTATTGGCACATCACCTATCCTGGACCCTTTGTTAAGGGCTGAAGTGCTCACAAGAATGCCACGGGTGTTAGTGGTTCAGTTTTAAGTCGGGAAGGCTTGAGGAGTTAAGCTTCTTGCAGAGGTCCCATAGTCACTGAACAGTGGAGCTGGGTTTGTGAGTATATCTGTCCCATCAGAAACATCAGTGCTTTTAAACATTGTATTCCTCTTTCCAACTTGTGCCTGAATCCTAATCCTCTGGGTACGGGAGGAGATATACCTTGCAAATTTATTTTCTTTTCTCACATCTTCCCTCCTTGCCCCTTTCCTTCCCTTTCTTTCATTTGTTTTTCAAACAATGTTTCCGGTGTCCCACACTCAGTCCAAGCCTGCTAGCTGAGGAAGGTCTTGCTTCCTCCTTTCATGTACTAGGATCACAAATAGGCACGGCCACACTTAGTTTTTGAGATGCAAGAGGGGACCCCAGGGCTTAATGCATACTCGGGAAGAACTATGCTAGCCTAGCTTTCTCTCTCGCCTCTTAACCTCTGGCTGCATGTTTCCAATCGAAGGGGAGGGGGTGTAGAATAATTCATAGTAAAGAAAACTGACAATGAGGACTAAAGGGTAAAACAATGCACAGATGTGGGGTACAATGAGAAGTAAGGAGACACATGGGCTTGTCCTGTGACAAAGAGAGGAGAGAGAAAGAACAGAGAGAGACCAGCATAAGGCCTTAGCCTTGGTGCGTCAGGAGCAGGGAGAGTGCCCCAGTGCCCCAGAGGCCATCCATGTGCTTGGTGCTGGTGGGGCTGTCCTCAGGCTGGACAGGCAGCCTTGCTTCCGGTAGCTGAAGAGTTCTGGGCTGTCAGGAAGAAAACACGAGTCTCCCAAGTGAGCATTTGCTGCCTGTTTCCTTTCACACATGTCTGTTCCCTTCTGGCTCAGGGTTACAAAGCCCGTTCATTCCAGTCAGAAGGTTGGCAGCTTGATCAATGATTTCCTGTGCCTTGATGATAAATGCTTTTCCTCTTTAGAAGATAAATTTGTGTTTTGAGGGGTCGATGCTCTTTGATTTCTTTATAATAGAACTCCATTCCAATCAGTTTCCTAACTGTGACCTGCTCCAGTGCTCTTGGCCAAAACAAATTCTGCTAATGACAAATAACAGAAACTACAGGAAAATCATGTGCTCCTTAATTGAAGTCATGGATAAGGCCTCTGAGAGTGGCTAGGCCAGGGCCTTTTTGCTCTATAGATCAGGAAACAGGGTCCCCAGAGAGAGGAAGAAGTGTGTCCAGGATCACGTCGCCACTTTTGGCTGCCTCCACTTCTCTGCAGGCTGTGAGAGAGTCAGTGATCTATCATGTTAAAAACTTATCAAGACAGACTTCTAGTTCACGCTAGACCTTTAGACTGCCAGGAAATATTCACTTGATTTTTTTTCTCCCAAAACCTAGTTTTAAAGGCTGGGCACACAGGGATTTTTTTTTTCTTTTAAAGTAGTAATGCTTATGCTTTATTAATGGTCTTTGGTTGTCTCATAAAAGTCACGCATGGCTGGGTGGTGATAGTGCATGTCTCAGTGCTCTGGAGACAGAGATGGGAGGATCTCTGTGTGTTCCAGAACAGCCTGGTATAAAGTCAGAGTTGAGTAGCTCCAGCAAAGAGCTTGGGATTTGCAAAACCTAAAATGCTCTGCCCCTTTATAGATTTTTTTTTTTTAATTTGAGACAGGGTCATTTTAAAAAATTATTTTATGTGCATTGGTGCAAAAGTGTCAGATTCCTTGAAACTGGAGTTACAGACAATTGTGAGCTGCCATATGGGAAGAACAGCTAGTGCTCTTAACTGCTGAACCATCTCTCCAGTTCCAAGACAGGGTCTTAAAACATGTTATGTAGCTGAGGCTGGTCTTGAACTCCTGATTTTCCTGCTTCTACCTTCCAAGTGCTGGGATTACAGTCCTGTGCCATGTGTCTGGCTTATAGAAAAGAGGTTTGTCAAGTCCTGTCAAGAACATCTGAAGAAACACAGATAAGATCAGGGAAATCATGGTCAGGGGCTCTCCCCAGAGCCTTAGGTTGATTGCGGTTTAACCATGTTCACAGCTTAATGTTTTCAAAGTCTTTGACTTCCCAGCAATCAGCTCCTGGAAGTAGAGTGGGCGGCTTTTAGATGTGGTTCATTTGTGACCTAATAATACTTTAGGTTCTCAACTCACGGGTCAAGACTCCCTTGGAGTCACAGCTTATATATTTACATTGTGATTCATAATAGCATCAAAATTAAAGTTATGAAGTAGCAACAAAATAATATTATAGTTTGGGGTCACCACAATGTGAAGAACTATGTTAAAGGGTCACAGCATTAGGAAGCTTGAGAAGTTCTTAGCTTGTACAAATAGTGCTGGCTGCACCTTACCAATAGTAACAGTAATGAGAGAACACTTGCCCAGCATACACAAGACCCTGGGTTCAATCCTCAGATTGGGGTTGGGGTAGCATGTTATTAAACAAGCAGGATCTCCTCTGCTAATGGATTTGGTTTTTATTCCACTGATTCAGGGGCAGGTTCAAGGCAGTGGTGTGTGTCCTGTCTGCAGTTACAACATGCCTGGCGTTTGTCAAGCCCTCCATCAACAATATCTCTCTGATGACTCTAGGGGTCCCATGCACTGCCCTACTCATTGCAGAACTGAAGAGGTGGGTGCCGTTTTTCCTGTTTTATTTTTGTTATTGTTGTTGTTGTTGTTGTTGTTGTTGCCCAGGTAACCATTTTCTTCTGGGAAGTTGTAGATGAAGACTTCAGGTTCATATGCTGAAACATTTTAAGAAATATTTGTTATTTATTTTTATTTTATTTTATTTTGTTTTTTGAGACAGGGTTTTTCTGTGTTAACAGCCCTGGCTGTTCTGGAACTAGCTCTGTAGACCAGGCTGGCCTCAAACTCACAGAGGTCCTCATGCCTCTGTCTCCCAATTGCTGGGATTAAAGTAGTGTGCTACCACCGCCCAGCTTTGTTTTTTATTTTAAAAATATTTTTAAAGTGCATATATTTTATTTTGTGTGTGTGTGTGTGTGTGTGTGTGTGTGTGTGTGTGTGTGTGTGTGTGTGTGTATGTCTGCATGTGTATGCACCAGGGGCCCTCAGAGACCAGAAGAGTAGTCCAGGCCCCAGAACTGGGGTCATGTATGTTATGACCTGCCTGGCTTGTGTGCTGAGACCAGACCTGGGTCATCTAGAAGAACAGGGTGCTCTTAACCTCTAGGCCATCTCTCCAGTTCTTCCAGGAACATTTTATGTGGGCTGGCGAGATGGCTCAGTGGTTAAGAGCACTTGTTGCTTTCCCAGGGATCCTTGGTTTCATTTCCAGCATCTACCAAGCCCCCAGCACATTCTTCTGACCTGCAGACACTAGGCATGCACTAGGCATGCACATGGTACACATGTATCCAGGTGAAACATTCATACACACAAAATAAAGAGAATAGAAAAATAAATATTTTATTTTAGGTCTTGTGTGTGGGTCTTCTAGCCACAAAATACATACGATCACTGATCTAATTTAAGATTTGATGAAAACATTGTTTTTGTTATAGTTACTTTAAAATATATTTTAACCCATACTTTCTCTTACATTGAACCCTGAATATCTTAGATTTTTGAAACCAGTTCTTGCTATGTAGCCAAGGCTGGCCAGGCTGGGGACTAACTCATATTGATTTCCCACCATAACGTCCTTAGTGCTGGGATTGTAAGTGTGATAATAATGGGTCCGTGAGTGAGGTTTTAAAAACAACAAAAAAATTATGTGTGTGGGTGCTTTGTCTATATGTTTGTCTATGTACCACTTGCATGCTTTGTACTTGGGGAAGCCAGAAGAAGGTACCAGGTTCTCTGGAACTGAAGTTAAAGATGGTTGTGAGCCATCATGTGGATGTTGGAAGAGCAGCCAGTGCTCTTAACCCTCAACCCATCTCTCCAGTCCCCAAGTATTTTTTTTTAATATTTTTTTATTAAATTTGGTCTTTGATAATTTCATTCATGTACATAATATATTCTGGTTTCTCTCACCCCTGCTTTTTTTTATTTTCCTCCCATTCCTTGTCAATACCTTTCATTCTTCCCTACAAATTCATTTCTTGTATTTTTGTCTTTTTTTTTTTTTTTTTAATCCACTGAGTTTAACCAGGGCTGTCTGTATGAATATGGGGTTGGAACTGTCTGTTGGAACCTGATGGGCACACCTATGAGTACACAACCGAAGTCAATGACTGCTCCCCCCCCCCCCAGAATCCACCAGTTGCTAGTAGTTCATTATGCAGGGGTAGGGTTCCATGGAGCCCTCTCTGATCAGACTGACGACTGATAGGCCCAGTCTGTGTAGACCCAGTGAAGGCAGCAATCACAGTTGCTGTGTGATCATATTTGTAATGGCTATGCCTGCTCAGAAGATGGCATTTTGCAGCCCTTCTTCATTCTTATCTTCCAGTTCTTATAGTCTTTCCAACTCCTCTTCTCCATGTTCCCTGAGCCTTAGAAGCGGTGATATAGATGTCCTGTTTCACACCAAGTGCTTAGCCATCACTTACCCTCGGCACTTGAGCAGCCACAAGTCTCTGTGTTCACTGCTGTTCGTTGCTTCTTTGAGGAAGCTGAGGAAGCAGCTTTGTCTATGAATAGAAACACAAATACTTAGAAGGCAATTTGGGACCATTTCAGTTTAGTTTCCACTTAGGGGCCAAGATTCCCTCAGTCATGGGTTTGACTAGGTTTACAGTACCACAGTTTTGAGTGAGGTCTTAATTGAAGTTTGGTCTTTCTCAGACAGCAATACTGTGTCATGTGTTAGCTCAGTTTAGGAAATGATAATTTCTTTGCGGCTGCTTTGCTTCCCAGAGCTGCTTTGATCATCAGCAATAGCATCCAGGGGCAGAAGTGGGGGAAGAAGCAGTTGAACGTGCTGCCTGGCAGCAAAAGAATACTGTCAGGTTTCCTTTGGTTGGCTTCTCTGTGAGGCCTGTAAGGATAGGTTTGTAAGAGACCTGTTTTAGAAATCAACCGACTTGGCCCTAGAAGAACAACTATAGCAGTATAAAAGCATATAACTGAATAAACCAGAGAAGTTCCTATTCTCCAATAAGCTTAATAAAAGACCCACATTTATTTATTTATTTATTCATTTATTTATTGTGTGTACACATGGATGGTCATGCCTGTGTTGAATCACAGGTGTGGAGGTCAGAGGACAATTTGTGGGAGTTGTTTCTCTTCTTCCACCAAATGGGTTCTGGGGATCAAACTCAAGTTGTCAGGTTTGGCATCAAGTGCCACTACCCACTGAGTTATTGTGACAGCTCCCTTTTTTTTTTTTTTTTTTTGGAGAAACGTTTTCATGAGACCCAGGGTCGCCTTGAACTCACTATATAGTAAGGTGTCCTTAAACTGACCCCCCTCCTCTATCAATCTCCTGGGTATTAGGATTACAAGTGTGTGCCACTGCACCTGGCTGCTATAAACTTAATTATGGGCATCTGAGAGTTTAAATGGCTAAAACCCCATTGTTCGGGGTTAAGAATAGAGTCAGAAGGGCTTGTGAGGAGGTAATGGCAGGGGAGGGGGGGGGCAAGAAAAGGGATGACAGCAAATAAAGCAAGGGTTTCTTGGTCCATTGCAGGAAAAATTGTAAAATTGGATGGAGGTGATGGCTAAACACCTCTCAATATTCTACAGTCCATTGAATTGTGTGCTTTACGTGGGTAGATTTTACAGTGCATGAATTATATTCCAGTAAAACTATTAACAAAACAGCAAGCTCCAGGAACACAACAGGTGTTTCTGTCTCTGGAACCATGGATCTGTCCAAACTACATGTTTCCCACATGTGATGGTCAGCTTTTGTCTACTTTCTGTAGCAGTTTGTTCTCAGTGATGAGGAGATGTAGACAGAGAGAAAGCGTAGCCTATAATAAATTCCTGGTGACCTCATCACCAGGAATACTGTGTAAGTCTGGAGCTGTGTTCTACCACAGAACCCAGGCTGCTTCTCAGAGACAGATCTTTGAATAAAGCTCGTGTTGATCCAGTGCCCTCCCTGACGATGTTCACTCACTCAGTGAGATGTGCATGGAAGACTCAGCTATCACTGAAGTGTGCCCTTGGGTTTCTTTTTGCCACAGTGACCACAGGTTGCTCAGATATATGCATGCCTGTCCTGTGACCAGGGTGACTGGCTAAAGTCTATGTCTGCAGCTCTGGGGCACAGTGACTTGCTTTTCTGTCCTACCTGGCTAGGCTTCTGAGTGTTATCTCTATCTGTTGGCTTCCTTCTGAGCCACACCTTCTCCATTTCCTTGAAGCAGGGCTTCCCTCCTCATCAGTGTGGAGTTACTGATGAGCATGCTCAAAAGATGGTTCCTATCAAGAAACTACTTTGTTGGAGAAAAATTGGAAAATATACACAAGCACAAAAGAAAACAATCTTTTATTAAGTAAACTATTTGGTGGTGCTTGCTCATATCACTGAACAAAAATAACTAAACCTGCCTCATGGTCTTGGGATGGTAACTATTAGTTTTTCTAGGTTTTATTTTATTTTTTTTTAGACAGTGTGTGTGTGTGTGTGTGTGTGTGTGTGTGTGTGTGTGTGTGTGTGTGTGTGTAACAATCCTGGCTGTCCCAGAACTAACTTTGTAGACGAGGCTGGTCTTGAACTCATAGAAAACAGCCTGCCTCTGCCTCCAGAGTCTTTATTCTTTGCCATCTTACATATTTGCCTAAAACATTAGCTCACTAGTATGCAGCTTTATAAAAATGGGTTACTTCTTTTCAAGGTACTCTGAAATTTGGTTTTCTCACTTGGGGATGTATTATAGATATCTTTCTCGGTAAAGAAGTATAACCTTCCAGGCCTTCTTTAACACCTTAGGGTGTGGTGTACACCTGTAATTCTAGCACTTTGGGTACAGGCAGCAGCCAGCCTTAGCAACATATTTAGTTCAAGGCCAGTGTAGGCTATTTGATACCCTGTCTCAGAGACAAACAAACACACAGGGAGGTGGGTTGGGGAAGAGGGAGAACAATGAGAATCGGAGTTATGGCTACATTAAATTTAGTTAATTTTTAAACATTTAGAGTCTAGTTTTCCATTGTTATAAATACCTAGGTAATGAACATCTTTGTGTATTTTAGTCTGTATAACAACTTTTAACTTCCTAATTGGAACAAAGAACCTTTGTTTAGTTGAGTAAAGTTTCTTTTCAGGAATGAGGACTCAGAAAGCCACCCTCCTCCTTACTTTCTTCCCTTGGCTCTGTGACCTCAACAATCCAGACTGCTCCACTTGGTTGTTCTCACTGTCCTCCTTGCCTTTCTGAGGGCAACCAGTCTCCAAATTTGAGCCTTTTGGTTTATTTCTTGAAGGTCTCATTCACCTGAGTCCAGCATCATGTTCCTCTATGGTTCTGATCCCCCCTCCTTTTTTATTTGTTTTGTTTATTTTGTTTTTCAGAGACAGGGTTTCTCTGTGTAGTCCTGGCTATCCTGGAAATCGATCTGTAGACCAGGCTGCCCTTGAACTCAGAGATTCGACTGCCTCTCCAAAGTGCTGGGATTAAAGATGTGCACCACCAGCTAGTTCAGCCTCTTATTTTCAGTTTTTGCTGGGTATTCTCCATTAGACTGTCTCCCAGTACTCAAGGC